CTGGAAGGTCTCCAAAAAGACCTGCAGGTTGTTGCCCTCCGCCATCCGGTGCATCGGGTGGCTCCATCCAGCCTCTCCAACACCTGCGTCTGCCGCTAAGCCTGCTCACGGTGCGTCAGCATTTGAGCCAGCAGCTGAAGCAGCTGCGTGGACTAAGGGCTGGACATCGAGCCTGGGTTTCGGCATTAATTGGCGTTTTGCCACTTTTATTTAGGCGCACACACACAGAACGGTTCAGCACCAACCATCTCTGGCATGGTCAGCTTTTCAGCTCCACAGTTCTCTCTTGTCTCCGTCCCCGGTGACACTAAAAAGGGAAGAGAGATCATCAGCCTGACTACCTCCACCTGGCCCTCAGCCTCCATGGCACTGCCCTTTGAACCCACTGCAGCAGAGCTAAAGACCACACCCCTGCCACACACAGATTACAGTTTGCTGCTTAGCTTGTGTTTGGGAGTTTGAGAAAAACCAGTTTTTAACTGGGAGTGAGTCTGAAGTGCAATGGGATGTGCTGAGGAAAAACTCTGAGTTTCTTTGTGTTTATCCAAGTTAAGATAACCACATGTTTTAAGAGCATGTTCCTTTTCTTTCCCTTCTGCCTTAGAGGGAACGTTTTCTTCCTGCAGTTGCAGGGTCCTGATCCTGGTGGTAGTCAAACAGTAGACACTTGTCTTTGTGTGTAGGTCTCCAGTAAACGTCAGTGTTGTTCCAACCTCTGCAGTGCACAGAGCACAATCTTTGTATCTACCCCGATGAACTTTGTGTTTCTATCCACTGAGATGATGTGAACAGTGGAGGCTTCTCCTTCTTGAGTTTTGATTGTGACTTAGGAGTAATCCTTATATCTGTACCAGTGGGTAGCTGCTATCCCTTTGATAGAGCCAAGATCTTTCCTTTGCCTCCATGGCTACAGTGGATCTAAAAGAAAGGGTCAAAGTTCTGTTGTGTAGGGAGCTGTCTCACTACGGCTGGCCTCTGGCAGCTCCACTGCCTCCACAGGCCCAGTAACATAACTTACTAACAGTTGGGAAAGGTATGGATATTTTGTACTTACGTAGAAGTATAGATACTAGTGTTAAAAATTACTCCAGTAAAAGTTGAAGTACTCATTCAACTTCTTTACTCAAGTAAAAGTAAAAAAGTACGGACTCTGAAATATACTCAGTGTAAGAAAGCAAAAAATAAGCTTTGGAGGACATTTGAAGCTAACTGAGCCTCACAGTGTTATCGTAATGATTCAGCTTTAATCAGAAGAAAGAGAAGGAAAATTACATTCACCAGGTGGGGAAAGAATCATAAGTCACAATCATTTTTATTAAGAGCTCCAGTAGATTATGTTAGTGTACAGGCTGTGATCAGCTGCTCTCTGTGGATGTACACCTGAATTCAACAAGGTGTAAGCAGATGGTTCATGAGTTCATCCTCTACG